TGCCGCGGGGGTGCGGGCAGCGGGGCCAGCCCCAGCGCCTTCTAGGGCTTGGTTTTGGTGAGCACAGGGTGGGGGCCAGCTCCTGCACAGACCTGGGCTGGGTGGCTGGGTCAAAGGAGCCTGGGGGCATCAACCCGCAGGTGACGGACCCCTGCAGCTCTCGCTGTCCTGGGGCCAGCTGGGAGACGAGAGAAACCTTCTGCCCCTCAAGACGGGCAGCCTGGCAGGAGACGGGGCAGCAGGTTAATCCTGTCGTTCTTCAAGACTTGTGCATAGCCAGCGAGGTCGCAAGGGACAAGGTTGGGAAGTCACCAGGAGGTGCCCCGTTGACTCTGTGGACTTTGCTGAAGGCTCGCAGGGTTATGGGCACCCTGGACGCGTCGTTCCTTACCTCGCAGCCCAGGCAGGCCGGGAAGACCAGGTTCACCCTCCATCCCTTCATTGCCTTGGTCTCCTTTGGGTCCCGGTGGCCCTGAAACACAGCGGGTATTGGAGCGCAGCCATCGCATCCCAGCTTTGCAGCCACGCAGCAGATGCATGAGTGCATGCGCCCACCCACCCTTCACCGGCCGCTGTCGTTTATATCATTGTTTATATCATTTATATCATTATCGGTGTCCAAGAACCTCTAAAAAACACAGACCCCTGCAGACAGGAGCGAAGTGACAGCGAGGGAGCTTGCCAGCAGCCTTCTTCCACGACCTGTGGACTTCGAAGGCCAAACGCAACTCCATCAACCTGTCTCATGTGCCAGAAAACTTCACCTTGTAGCTCCCACGCTTCCACCTGAGCGTGACTCTATGGGAAATTCCAATCTCCTGGAATTGCCTTTTGACCAAAAGTTGTGACATCGCCAATGAAATCACATTAAAAAAAAGAAAAAAAAAAAAAAAGAACAATTAATTTTGGAAATATTGAGATGAACCTTTACAAGGGGATTTGCATCACTGATCTCATCAGGAACTGGCCATCGGTGATTGCTTTTCGGTGTAAGCTCTCGTGAGCGAGCAGAAAGTCCAACCCGGTAAATAGAGTTATATTCCTCAGCCTGCAAAGGGCCAAGTCCACAAAGCTGAAAACAATTATGAGCTAAATCAATTGGAAGAAAGAATCTGAACGGAAAAAAAAAAAGACGCATGGGACGATAGAAAATAGGGCAGAGAGAGGCCTGGAGGGGGTCATTTGGTCTTTGTCATACCAAGCCAGGGTGATAATTGGAAACTGTTAAATATTGTTTTCCTAGAAACCCCAAAAGCCATAATCTCGCAGTTGTGTAGAAAGCAAACAACCAGCCAGGGCTACAGGCGACGTGGTAACGCAAAAGGACCAGGAGAGGAAGAAGGGGGATGTTTAGCATCCCTAATGAATGAGTAATTAGGATCTGCAAATATTATGCAGAAATTAGCGGGTTCCTGAGCAGAAGAACTGCAGCAAGCTCAGGAAACGTCCTGAGCTGGAGATGGTCAGGGGCTGGGAGAGGACTACGGGGAAATACTGCATTAGCTTGCCCTGGGCTTCCTCTTCCCCAGGAGATGCACATCTCTAGATGAGCCTCTAGGGCGCTGAGAGGACGTGGGGATGGACCCTAGCCCCTGGGGACACGTCTCCTGCTCTCGCTTGGCAAAACAAGAGGATGCAAAGAACAATGGACACCCGGGAGAGCAGAGTACAATGAGGAGGCGTTTTTGGGTGGGAACAAGAGGAACCATGCGCAGCAGGGACGCTGCCTGGCCCTGGGTGGGAGAAGCAGGATTCCCCCTGACGGAGAAGGTCCAGCAACGTTCAAGAGCTGCTCCACAGGGGGATGTGGGGCAGGAGCCGGGAAGGGGCCATCAGAGGCCTCTCGTCCCACCCCCGCAGTGAGCAGGGACATCTTCACCCAGAGCAGGTTGCTCAGAGCCCCGTCCAGCCTGACCTGGGCTGTTTCCAGGGATGGGGCATCCACCACCTCTCTGGGCAGCCTGGGCCAGGGCTTCACCACCCTCACCATGGTGAAAACTACACGTTCTTCAATCCGCTTACTTGCCTGCTGGAGTTTGAAAAACTGAATAGATGGACAAATAAATAAGCAATAGGAAGCACCTGACTGCAGAGATAGACGGTGTTAAGTACAGCCATTGGGTTTCAGTGCCCCAAAAGAGCAAGAGGGAGGTCAAGTCATGCCAGTTTGTTGAAGTCAAATAACGTGGGTAAGTTTAGGCTGCCCCATATCACCTGACCCCTTCCGAAATAAGGAACTAATGGGGATTGTAGTAAAATCAGTCGATATCATTAACTTCAGTCTACAGGGCATTACAGAGAGCAGAGCCTGCCAGCGACCCATGGCTTTATAGAGGTGATGGTGAGTTTGATGGGTACCAGTGGGACTGTCAAGGCAAAGGGGTTTTTCTACCAGCATATCTCCTGCCTGAAGGCACCAAGTGTCCCAGGGTGAGCAGTGAAAACTCTGCATGACCCAGCCATGCTCCTGGGTTCAGGTCAAGTTCTTCCCTCCCCAGCAAAGGTTGGGCTGCTGAAAACCACTTGCTTAGACAAAACGGATGCTTTCCCGCCGTGACCAAAACTAAAAGCAACCCTGGAAACGTCTGCGCTGGGAGCCACCGAGGAAAGGTCTCCCATTTTGTCACCCTGACTTTGCCCCAGGTATCCTCACCAAAGGGAAGGGGTCCCACAGCGACACTGGAGCCAAACTATTGCTGACACAAAACGTCTTGCTTCCCCCGTGCCGGCTCCAGCACGGCTCGGCTGAGGTCCCCTGTGCGGGGCCAGCTCCAGCAACTTCCACCTGCTCTGGTTTTCTGGGCACACTGGGAAATAACCCACACAAGGGCCCCAGCTCAGCTCCATTAACCCTCAGAAGGACATGGGAACTGCTTGCTCGGGGCACGTCTCATTGGGATTGGAGCTGCCTTTCCTCCTTAAAATCAGCTGCTACAGTGCAGCCCCACAGTCCTCTCCCACCATCTCGTCATCTCATCTCATCCATCTCATCCATCTCGTCTCGTCTCGTCTCGTCTCGTCTCGTCTCGTCTCATCTCATCTCATCTCATCTCATCTCATCTCATCCCTTCCACCATCTCAGAAAACCATCCCATGGGATGTCGGGGAGGTCAAGGGCATGGACAAGGCTAAGAAGGGGACTACGTTTCATGAAGAATGACCATGGGCAACTGGCAATCTCATCTGCTCCATAAGAGCTGGAGGCTGGGACAACACAGCCAGGGAAGAGCTTATTCCCTTATTCCCTCTCCCTAATGCCTGGGGTTAGAAACAAGGCTTGGGGATGGGCAGACTCTCCGGGCTGATCATGTTTGCTGGCTCCCAGGTTTTGGCATTCATCCTTCAGAGCTATTCCCACAGTAGTGTGCCCCATGGTCCAGCAGCGACCAGAACATCTCCTCTTGGCTCCATCCAGGCAGCTCCATGAGCAGAGACGGTCCCATCCCCGGGGGATAGCCGGTGGGATGGGACACAGGGAGCAGCTGGGGTGGAAGATGGAGGAGCAGTGGGAGGGGTGGTTGGGAGAGGCTGAGCAGCACTGTGGACACCGTGCCAAGCCGGTCCCCACCCCACAGTGTCTGAGGTTTGCACTCAGGAAAGAAAACTCCAGCCCGGACGCAGCCCTGCTTCACCCTCCTGCCTGCACGGGGCTGGGCTGCCCACTGCACCAGCGGAGGAGAAAAACCCTCCAAAACCACCAGGATGAGGGCTTCCATGACGTGCAGAGCTCTGACGGCCAGCTGGGGCCGTTGCAACCACCCCGCCAGACCCGCCGCGAGCCAGCACATCCCACCCAGCCAGCTGTGCAAGCGGTGGATGACCCCGGGCATCCTCCCTCCTGGTGACACTGTTATTTAAGACCCAGAGCCCCCCGCGCTGCGCAGCCAAGCCCTCCCCGCGACACGCGAGCTGCTTGGCACGACCGGCGGCTGGGGGAGAGCCCGGGC